ATATTACTTGACAGATGTTATCTATAGCAATATGTCTCTCATTACCATATTAAATGGTTCAACAAAGATATATCCATCCATTGCCAATTCCTATCATTAAACTGTTTAGTGCTGCCCAAAGCATCCTAGTCACTTGCCAGATATGGAATAGCGAAGGGGACTAAATATTTCAGCACTGTTTCATTATGTCTTTTTTTTACTGCACTCTGGTTGTGTTTATGTATGAGGAAGACATTCCTCCATAATACATATAATATGCATCACAGAAGAACTAGGTGAACCTGTAGGATTTTTGGTATGAGGTATCCATCCATGTAATTACTACTTTTCCTTAGTGTTATTCCCATTATTCAGAAGACAGCTTTGGTTGGTCTGAATGATATCTACCTCAATGTGTGTCTGATCTATAAGTTTAGCTTGTTCTGTTGTATTGCATTGTATTTGCCATTCTATTATTCTTCACTGGATCATTTTGAAGTATAATGCTTTTCTCCCTGGAAAGATTTTTTTTATAATGTGTCATCATTAACATAGTTTATTGTTCTCTCAGAATCTGTCTTAACAGTGTATCTCTCTGTCTATATATAGATCTACCTACCTACCTACCTACCTATCTACCTATCTATCTATATGGAACTATAGAAATATTTTTAGAGTTCAATCATTAGCTATAGTTCTGTTTTGACTGAGTTAGCCAAAGAAGGACTGAAGCCACCATGATAGTATGCAAGAGTCAGGGGCTTGAGATTTTATATCTTCTTGATTATTATGTCACACAAAATTCAGTCCTTGATGGTCTATATGATGTTTTGTAATCATGGTAAAGTTAACACAATCTAAGCCTGAATTGGTGGAATAAGGTGAGTTATCGCCCATTTCTATAATTGGGAAACTTCATTCAGATTATTCCAGTGCTGTTAAGTTTAAGGAATTAGAAAGAAACTGTCAGAAGTTCATAGGAATGACTTTTTTTACTCTTTTATAATATGATGTTGGGCCTGTGCTGTTTTGTCTTCCCCATAAGCAAACAAAATGCCCTCTTTAGAGTAATTTTGATTAATTATGGATGACCATTGTTTTAATGTTTGCTTTTCGTAAACATATGCAAACAACCATTGCCTGCTGCATTCAAAGTCTTCAAGGGGACTTCAAACAAATAAAAGTATTTGATTTGACATTCTAATTATATTATAATTAAAGGTTTGGTGTTGGTTGAATAAACTTTAACTCCCAGGTAAAAATAGTATACTTAAAGAAATAGAAATGAAATGAAATTTTTTTTAAATTAGTCTAGTTTGAAAAGAATATGCTCTTCATATATATGCAGAGTATGGTGGTGGGAGAACTACAGGTACTACACCTGAAGGGAGAAATCAAATACTGTGCAAAAATTAACAAAAATGGGGCCTCCCCTGGTGGCTCAGCGGCTGAGCACTGGACTGCCCAGCTGCCCAGCTGCCCTGCCCGCAGCCTCTGCAGCACCAGTTCGATCCCCAGCTGCTTGGCCAGGGTCCTACATGGCACGCAGACCTCTCCTGCTGCCCGCTGCTCCCCTCAGCAGTGTATTTTGGTCCTTCTGCCTGTTCTGCTTCCCACTCTGGGTCTGGTGAATTCTCTCACCCTCCTGCGCTTCTGACTGTACCCAGTGCTTGTATAAATAAATAAATCTTTAAAAAAAATTAACAATAATGTAAGAAAATAAATAAATTTTAAAAACCAAAATAGAGTAGCAATTCAAATTATCTTAAATGTTTATTATGCATAACAGAAACTTTACTATAATTTTTATTTTGCTTTATTTACTTTTTAGACAAGAAATTTATAAATACTATATTTTCTAAAAATCTGATGAAATAGGCCTAATACTACAGGTATGAAAATAAAATTCATAATTTCTTTATAAGGAATAAGTACTTAAGAAAATGAAGACTTTACACTTTTAGTATGCTTGAAATATTCCATCCTCACCAAATCAAGAAGTTAAGGAAAACAGAATTCAAATGAATATCATCCTTATTTGTAGGATCAATATTATAAATAGCTTAATGTTTAGGGAAAAACAGAATAGAAATAGAAAAGCACTAGGAATCAGTATGTGTTTTCTGAAAAAGGAATCACATAACACACAGTGATTTATGATGTTTTTGCCTCATCTATATTTTGTACACTATTTACGTATAATAAATATTTCTTATTTTGCTAAGTAGTGAAATTTTTTTTTATGTTAATGGTTGATGATTTGCTTTCCCTTTTCTTTCCTTTTGCATCAGTGGCTCAGCAAAATCACAACTCTATACTTAGAGGTATGGTGCCTGCCACCCAGAGTCTTCTGGCTGTGACTTCAGTGATCCCCTGTAAGAGTTGCTTTTCTACTTTCTGGTAGTCTGAAATACTTAATGTGCCCAGGGAAGAGTTGGGAGAAAAGTGCTCTTTTGTCTCCTAGGAGTTCAGAATTAGGGAGCTCAGAATTAGGACTCACTTTTGACCTTTGACTTCCTTGTGAGACACTACTCTTACTACACGATTAGTAAGACATAGATAGCTATTAGAAATGGAAAATCTAATGGTAATAAAATTAAGAACTGAAATTTATTGTTACCTGAAGTCCACTGTCAAGCATGACTTTTATCTTTATGAATATGTTTAACAATAATGATCTCTAGCTTTGAAAAAGAGAGGCCACAAAATGTGTAGTTCTTCTATTGAATGTGCTTGACTTTTACTGATCAGAAATGAGTCAACTGACATTTGGGGCTTAGCTGACTTGTTAAAATCTGCAGTCATGTTTCCTAAAAGTCATACAGAACAACTGCATTTTCTCCAAAACTCGATTGATATATATCATCAGGCAAAATCAATCTTTCAGCAATCCTGCTGCCAATCAAATAAAGCTTATAATTTTCATTCTAATTGTTGTTAATGCTTATACAAGACATTGGTACAGATGCAAGATGCTATTGCAGTCATCCTATCCTGTTGTTATTGCCATATGTTGTGAGTTTGTGTTTGTGTGTGTGTTTATGTGTGGAGAATCTGTTTCTCAATCGAGTATTTTTTTTATTGAGGTAATATTTGTTTGTATCATGTTTTCATTTTAAAAGTATATGATCTCCCCCTTCAGGTGGTGCTGCCATAGCCCACACGGCATGAAAGAATCCATAGTTCTCCATGATAGTCCTTTGTGCTCTCTTCCCACGACTTGTAATATGATGTCAAGCAGTGTGAAACTAGAAGTTTCAAATATAATTTGCCTGATTTTTAGATCTATGTTCCCATTAGAGTATCCTAACATACACATAATATATTATATGATTTTCATGGGTACTATATGGTAAGGATCATTAGAACCACCTTTAAATGGAATGGAAGTCCAGAAGGTTAACTGGCTTGCTTAGGTCAACAATAAATTGATAGTTTGGTTTTATTTCCAATTCTGTACCATTTCTACTCACAACATGCTGCTTGAGTTAGTAATGAGTCCATCAAAAAGTGATTAAGTCCTGTGTAGTCAAAGTAAATGAATTCTGTCAATTCAATATTGCACCTCTGCTTATCCCACTTCAGGACAAGTGAAATGATGAAAATGTGATCTTTTCCAGTTAAGATGATGAGGGAAAATGAACTTACCATGTTGAGTGCAGAACTAAGTATCTAGCAGAGAGCCCTTATATAAAACTTCACTAAACAGATGGAAGAACATTGAGGGGAAGAAGGGATAAGAAAGTAAAATGATTGGTATGTATAAAGGAAACCAGAGGTAGGCAAGGTAACCTACTATGTACTAGATAACACAGCAAGTGCTTTGTTTCCAGTTCAGTAAGGGATGGAGAGTACATATTTAGAATAGAACTGACTCTAAATTATTGCAAAGTTACCCTTTCTCAGTCTTCATTACAGGATCAAACTGTGACTCTGTTAATATTACTTGGATTGTAAAAATTTTCGATGCATTTATTTTTAAAATATGCTCATTATGACATAGGAATTACCTCAGGACAGATTTTATGTATAAATAGAAAATCTGAGTAGAAGGATTATACATAGATTTCTTTGCATGCTTAATAAATGCAAATTGGTGGTAGTAATCCCAACTTTTATCATCTTTTGGTGGCTGATATGTGACTTGAAATTCTATTTTGACACAGACAACACATGTATCTGGTTGCTTATCAGGAAGCCTGTGAATAAGAAAGCACTGAAGTTTGAAAGGAAAAGAACTAGGCTCCAATGGCTATAGGTAATATTAAATATGGAACATATAAGAAAATCTCTCCACCCTAAGACTTTAGAGTATGTTTACCTTTATTTTCTACTATACAAAATTATATTAAAACAAATCGCTTTCTTTAAAAACAATGAGTGTTTTGATCTATCTATCTAGCCAGCTAGCTAGCTAGCTGGAATATTTGTTATGATTCATTAGTTAGTAGATTCCACATGATTCTTACAGATTTTGTTTATATTGCTTGTCATATAATCAAAATTGATACAGCCAGACATGAAGAGAATGTGTTAAATTATTATATTTGATTGCATTTGACTAAAAGATATGACTTCTTTAATTCTTTTTAAAATCAAAAGAGAAAATAAACATGGATTATGGAGTCTCAATTTGGCAATACCTCCTCTGCTTGCACATCCTACGGAAAGTATTGGCTAATTATATTTTACATGAAACAAGAACATAATTTTCAATGTTTTGACAAGCAACAAATTGCACATTAGTTAGTTGTAAATAAATTTATTAGAAACAGTTGTCCTTGTTTGTAGATTCTCCTTTGAAAGAGAAAATTAATTTAAGGCTCATCATTCATAGAAAATGCATTATAATATCAAAGCATTAGAAAAAAAAAGCAGAAGCAGGTCCAAAACATACCTACTAAATAGCAGAAGAAATCTGATACTGCCATAAGATGAAAGAGGAAAGTACGTGAGGTCTATGATATCAGCATGGTGTCTGCTGGTAATCAGATTTTCAGTCATGATTCATTTGGCTTGATTATTCTTCTAATAATGTTATCTGCACTGTAATATAAACACAATATTGGTTTCCACTGAGAAATGTAAATTACAGATTGTTAAGTATTTTTTTCTTGAAGATTCTTTCATTGCCAATTAATTGGTGGAAATATCAGGTTTTTTGGACTTTATGCAGTACTGTGGTCTTGAAGTATATTCACAAAAATGAGTACATGAAATCCTAATTTTTGTACAGTAAAATTTGAATAAACTAAAACAAAGACTTTATCTGGTAATGGTAAATTTAGCTTGTGATTAATGCAGCTTATGCAGAAACAGCAAATTTCAGTTATAAATATTATCTTCTACATACAGGGAGATAAGTCAAAATTTTTCTAACTTTCCTAACAATTAGTATTTGTTAAGGGCTTTCTGTTGATAGTTGCCAGAAATTGTGGTAATTTTACATGCATTTTCTCATTTAACTCTCCTGATCACCTTCAGAAGTCAAGGTCAATTAACCCTATGTTAAGCATGAGGAAACTGAGACATGGCTAAGTAATGTAATCCTGGCAACTTTACAAGGAGAGGACTTGTATACATTTTGAATTTTAAGAAGATATGAATAGATTTATTGTCTATGGATTAGGTTCCTCAGGGACTAAACTCTGAAAGAGAGATCAACAGAGAAGTTTAGTACAAAGTGAGACATCATCACCTTTGAAAGAGAGGGAAGAAAAGTAGGGCTTTCCAGAAGAAGAATTTGGATTTAGCTGCCTGTTCAAGATGGAATTAATGTGCTTTCCAGAAAGCTTTAAAGCTGAGATGGTCTTTCAGAGTTTTTCAAATTTGGGAGAGTTAGTTATTGACTATGGGCTGCCCTAGAAGGAGGTGTAGCTTTGGGGAAGAATGCTTCAGTGGAAGTCATTCCCAAAGAGGACCTAATACTGAGAGCTCTCTGCTAACAACATTCTCATTACTGGGAGAACAGCTATCAATCCTGAAGGAGAATTTGGGAATATCATCATACCCACTAGATGCACACATATGTCTGCTTAAAGCTCTGTGCTAGTGAAACTCTGAATGATGCTAGAAATTAGTATGAAACAACATTCAAGTAAATACATTCAAATGTGCGAATAGTGTTGTCATGATTAGAAGATAGTTTTTCAGTTGTTACTATTGTAAGTTCAGACTTTAAAATAAAATAGAGGCAATGGCTTTCACACATTAAAAAAGTAAACATTTACCTTAGGTCTTAAAACCTAGTAGATATCTATCTTTAAAACTATAAATGATGTAAGTAATACTAATTACAACTTCACTATACTTCTTGCTGATGTTCTTTCCTGTTCATAAAATAGTAATAAAAATGCTTTTATATCATATCTATATATGTGCATTCATGGATTGTCTATAAGTGCAAAAATGTATAAGGACTTAAGTTTAATATTAACATGATACTAGAAAAATACAAGACATCAAAGTAAAATGTTATAATAGTCATAATACTAGTCAAATCAAAAGAACAGATGTATATGTAATATACATGATAAATGGTATGCATACCATCAAATTCAAAGAAAAAAGTACTATAGTAAAGAATATAAATATATGTAATGTTAAAATTTCTGATATAATATATAGTCCAGAAATACCCTTAGAAGCAAGTAAATGAGAACAATCATTATTTTAGTTATAATGAATTATATTGGAAGGTTGCACTAATAAAAACTGACTGCATGTTTGTTATTACCTGTTCAAAACACTGTGCCTTCTGGATAAAGGTTCATAAAAAAATCTACAAATAGTCAAATATCCAGATTTTCAAAGTAGAACATGAATTTTTCAAACCTGGAAATATGTTTGAAGGCAACAAGAAAGTGTTTTCAAGCAGTAATGTTTTATAAATATAGAGTTCATGTTGTTGATTATATAGTGTTCATTAAAATCGTAATAAGTTTTTACAATGATATGTAAATTATGATTTTATCTTTGCCATAGAAACCAGCAATAGTAATTTCTGTATAGTCTAACTTTAAATCAATTTAAGTTCATTTAAATTATTTTTTTTAATTTGAAAATCCACGAGCTGCTTATGGTTATTATTGGACAACACATTTATAGACTATTTTTTTTCCTAAGATCAAAGTAGAGATTGTAATTGCAATGGAAATAGGAAATTGACTCTTACACTCAAAAAACTATTAGGTTAGTAAAATAACCTGGGTCTTAGATTATCTGTGTAGATCCAAACAAGATTAGAAAGCTCACAGAGTGTTCTTCAGTACACAATGCAAGAAAAGGTGCTATCATCCTTACTAACCACTAAGAGGCACTGATTTGATAATATATAAGGAGCACAAGAAGAAATGCCACTCTATAAAATAAACATGGCATGTTAAAGGGTCTTGACAAAACAAGAATTAAAATAAGTATTGCTTGTTTGACCATTCACTTTTTAGGTTTGGGTGAATAGTGCAGTGAGCCAGAAATAAAGGCCTAATTAGTATGTGTGTCCTCAGACAAGCGATCCTCCTACAGTTATTCTTGCTTTGAATGCTTGTCATCAACATGATAGGCAGGAAGCTACGGCAACTAGAAATATAGGAAAGGCATTAGAAGGCAAAGCTAAGCCCAGTCACTCTGTGGCTACAACAAATATTATTCTAGCATTTTCCTGACTTTCCTAAATCAGAGCTTTCAAATACATTTATGTTCACCACTAGAAGCCTGGGGGGAGGAAAAAGGAAATAAAAGTATACACTAACAAAATCTTATATAATATTGTGTTTTCCTAAATAATTATTAAAGAAAGAGAAAGCTAGGAATAAATTCAATTCTAGTTGGTATAACTTCCTTTCCAAAGATAATGCATATTGCACACAAAACATTGTGATAATAAAATACGCATTTAAATGCTTATTACCTATAATGTTGAATTATATTAGTCATTTCTCTGCATAATTAAACACATATTTGATTGACCTTAACAAAGGAAATACAAAGATACAGAATTTCATAGAAATGTTTTTCCCTTCTCTAGCTCTGTATTCCTTCAAAGCAATATGTTGACCCACTCAACCTTATTTTTGATAAGCATGATTTCTGATACAATAGTAGTCCAAATTAGTTTGATTTTGGCAGGATTGTATACTAGCCTATATACTATACAGGCACTTTGGAAACCATTATGGTAGTATTTTCAGCTTAGAACTGAAATAAAGTAACAGTATACAAATATAAAAATTCAATCTGTGCTTCAAATGAGAAAATTTTGAGATCTTGTAAATTGTATTGCTTTCTCAGGCTGGAATTCTCAGGCCCTCTTCACTGGAAGACCAACCAACTCTGCCCATTGTTAATTGCAAGCTTGATTTTTTCCATTACAAATATGTTTTTGATGGAGAGTCAACTTTAGTCTATCATCCATTCTCTTAGGAAATCTTTACCTGAGAAGCATATTTATCATCATTATCTTAATCAAAGCAATTTTTTGCCACTTTAATTCAAGAAAAGGGATTTGTTGACCATCTTAGTTCCTTTTTGTAATTTGGTAGAATATAAGTATAACATGCAAATTAAAACCACATTGAGATACCTTATACCAGTAAGAATGTCACATATCAAAAAAACAAGCAACAACAAATGTTGGTGAGGATGTGGTGAAAAAGGAACTCTCCTACATTGCTGGTGGGAGTGCAAACTGGTCCAACCACTATGGAAAGCTGTCTGGAGGTTCCTCAATCTACTAAAAATGGAACAAAATGGAACTACCATAGGACCCAGCAATTCCACTCCTAGGGATCTACCCAAAGGACACAAAAACACTGATTCAAAAGCACACCTGTACACCTATGTTTATTGCAGCACTATTTACAATAGGTAAAATCTGGAAACAACCCAAATGCCCAAAAAGAGATGACTGGATCAAGAAGATGTGGTATATATACACAATGGAATATTATTCAGCAATCAAAAAAAGATAAAGTCATACCATTCACAGCAACGTGGTTGGAAGTAGAAGGAATTATGTTCAGTAAAATAAGCCAGAAGGAAAAGGAAAAATATCGCATGGTTTCAATTATAGCAGGCATATAGGGGAACCAAATAAGACATCAGTGTAAAAAAATAATAGTACAGAACATAACAAAGCAAAAACATACAATTATAAACCAGAGACATCATGCAGGGGAGGAGGAGGGAGAGGGGTGAGAGGGAGGGAGGGAGGAGCACAGGGGACTGAGGTGATGGTGCACGGGTGCATTGGTGAAGGGAACTCTATGGGGACTACACCTGAGGGGATGGGGTGTTATACGAAAGGACAAATTGCTGTGCAGAAAGGCTATGTGGAAGCATGCTGCTGTGCCAGCCCTGTGTGAGGCTGTCTTGAATGTATAACCCAGCAATGGCCACTAGTTGAAAGCATCAAGGGAGAGACTTCACTTGATGCTTCATGGAACAGAAAATCCTTTTAGCAGTGCCCAGTCAACTCACAGAAGTGTAAGAAATAACAAGTTGATGTTGCTTTAAACCATTATGTTTTTGAGAGATTAGTGGAACAGAATATACTCAAAACACCTATTAAATACATACAGCTTAAATGATCTCATCAATGGGGATTAGTTATTAAAATTACCTCAGGAAGCAAAAAGCTTATTTTGGTTATTTAATAATATGGTTGATTTATTTCATATTGATATTAGTATATTTAGTATGGTTGGGGCATCTTATTTTCAATGTATAAAGAAAATAGTGTTTGCATATTTGATTTAAATGTTTTAAAATATGCCTGCTATTAAAACAAAACCTGGAAAAACATACATGTTTTTAAACAGAGCAAAAGAATGGCTTTTCAAGCAGAGTTAAAGAATGACCCAGTTATCTAACTGGCAATTATAAACATGTCACTCATTTATTTATAATCCTTCTGTCTCTTTAGTGTGAATTCTAGCAAGATTCTTGCTTAATTTTCCTCTCACATTCCCTTATTTTACTTCCTTTTATTCTAGAATTGACTAATTCTATTTCCTTCTAAACACAAATTTTCATTTATCTGTGTTGCT